AAAGAAGAATTTGGTTTGGTCTTTTGTGGAGACCACATGAAAAGTGAGGTGGAAAGCCTCATTTTATAGGCAGTGCTAGTTCAAAGCATTTTCTGTGTTTCCCCCTCCCAAAAAAAATTTTTTTTTAGATTTTACTTGATAATTAAGGATTCCCTTCGAGTACATTTGCTTATTCTGCTTGGTATTATGAAGCATAATGTTTATGTCAGTTTTTCTGCTCTATTTCCCTCTTATTTCTAATTTTCTAAAGTGAATTAATCTCTATCTAGTCAACATAAATCAGTGAACTGGCTGCAGCATTCAACCCTCTGAGATTTCAGGCTTATGGCGAGGTATTGGGAAAATTCTGGCTCAGTTGTTTCTTGCATAAGAGGCTTTACAGTTATTTATTAGAAGATAGTTGGGGGGAAGAGAAAAAAATGGACTTATGTGATCCTGTTTTGCTAAATACAGTACACTGCTGCTATTTTTTTCTTTACTACTTCCTCTAAGAGTCATCATTTCAATGCACTAATCTTTTCAACAGTCATTCTGTGTGAATTGGTCCAGAATTTTGCTAAGGGGTCACATTTACCAACTTGTCAGTTACACATTTACCAAAAAATGGCACGAGTTTACTTAGCATCAGAACCTCTGTATCTTTTATCACTCAACTGTATTTCATGCTGTTTTACCATCAGTGTATTACAATAGCTACATAAATTCCACCCAGATTCTTCATTTAATGAAGTCATATTCTTTGAACAAAAATAAAAGAGTTCTTTTTTATATAAGAATAATAAGAGTGCAGAAGTGTGGAGGAGAGAAATCATCAGATTATTACCCATTGCAGTGGTGGGGAATTCTCTGTTCTTCTTTGTCTTCAGACACAATATCTTTTTTCCAGCTTGATTGACTGGGAAATGGGGAATGGTATAGCAGCCTTGGGCATGTTTGAGAGTATTGTGATGGCCACATCCTCAGCTCATGCAGGACTAAGCATTGATGGTACTCTCATAGACAAGTAACTTTTAGAAAATAATACAGTCATCGACAAGTGACTTTTAGAATACACTTTATGCGTTTGGAGAGAGAGTGCAGTGTAGCATTCAAGGGTATATATTCAAGCTTTGTACTGCAGCTAAGAGTATAGCAGCTAAGCTTTGTAACTGGACTGCTTGGGTTCAAACCCTAGCTCATCCACTTACTCGGGTTTGTGATTCTGAGCAAGACACTCCTTTCTGTCTGTAGTTTCCTGTTAAATGAGGATGATAATAACACCCAGCAGGGGGTGTTAACTGAATTGATGCATGAAGACAGTTGTGTGTGCCCAGGCTAAGCTGCTGCCTTTTATGTGCACATCAATTGTCTACTGTGTAGTTGACCCAGGTGTGACACGGGTGACTTTCTGAGTCAGGTGGGCTAAAGTGATTGATGTGATGGACTAGTTGTTTATTTCTCAAAATTATTAATGGGTGCTTTCACTCATCATGAAAGAGTACTTTCTAAAAGCATTAAAAAGTGCACTTAGCCAAAAGTATCCTTTTATGATAGGCTTATTACTTTAAAAGTTACTTGAATCCAGGATATAGTAGGTAGTTCGTGGGCCATATCTCCATCCGACATCCTGCTGTAAGGCCTCACTTTCTAAAACACTGTCTGTTTCTGCTCAGAAGGCTTTGAGACTTCCTTCAGACACAACTCCCCTGTCATTCCATTTCTGCTAGAGCCTGGTCCTTTCTCTCCCTCTACCTATCCCTTTTTATCCTTTCTTCCCCTATAGAAACAATCTTCTCCAATCCAAATTGATCTAACATCATTTTTCGTATCTATCACATTGTTTCTTACTCTCTTCCTTTGTTTACGCTTTTTTATAACTGAGGTAACAGTGGCTTACATCACTGTATGTGTATTAGAAATGTAGGCTCTCCCCTATCTGGTGCTGTTACCTACCATACCACCACCAAGACTTCCATAGTCCTCCACCAGGGTCTACGTTACTCCCTTCCCACCTTGCTCTCGTCCCTTCACCTTGCCCTCTGGTAGCCTCAGTTCTATAGTCAACATTCTAGGGTTAGTTCTAAGTTTGGCTTTATCTGACCCTTTGTTTTCTGTGTACTCCATATACAAGGGCTGCCATTCTATATTTTTCTTTCACCTGACTTAACTTCACTTAGCATAGTGCCTTCCAGCTCCATCCATGTTGTGGTAAATGGCAAGAGTTTGCCTTTTTTTTTTTTAATTAAAGATTTATTTATTTATTTATTTGTACAGAACTGGGGTACAGGTCAGAGATGCAGAGGGTGAGAGGATTCAACAGAGAGAGAGTGGGAGCACAAAAGGCAGATAAACAAAGTGCACTGCTGAGGGGAGCAGCGGGTGGGTCAGGAGAGGTCTGCCATGCCATGTGGTCACCTCCGGGGCAGGCGGGAATCGAACTCATGTGGAAGTGGTTTAAGTTTCTTTGTGCTGTGCTTTAACCTGCTGCGCCACCAGGGAGGGCCAAGAGTTTACCTTTTTAATGGCTGAGTTTACCTTTGTAATAATCCCTTGCGTATCTAATATTCTAAGAGTCAGAAGGGGGAAGGTATATAATTTATTTTTCATTATATATATATTTTTTTAGCACATAGCTTGATTGTCTGAACATTTAAATGCTAAGTAGAGCTTGTTTGTTAATAATAATAAAGTATCCTATTAACTCTACTTTCAAATTCCATTTAGGTTCTAACCACTTCATACCATCTCTAACACTGTCACTCTTGGCCAAGTCACATTTAATCTTTCCTTAACTCTTTCCTTGTCTCCTGTTACACTGTTGCCCACCCCTTCAACATAGCAACACTTAAATTTTAAATCAGATTATATCAACTCTCTATTCAAAACTCTCCAGTTTCTTTCCACACCATCCAAAGTAAAAGCAAAGCCCCTGTAATAGCTGCAAAGCCTCTTACAACCAGTCACTCCACCCCAACACACCCCTGATACTGTTCCCCTCATGCCCTCCTGCTGCCCTCTACCTGTCCCCTGCTACTCTTCTTCTGTCACGTCAGTCTCCTTGTTGTTTTCTGAAGATGCAAGGGAAAATCCCATCTCAAGGCCTTTGCACATCCTTTTCCCCTCTGGCCAGAAAATGCCTCTTTGGTAACTCTTCATGGCTCTATCCTTCCTGTAGGTCTCTGATCAGATTCCTTCTTAGTAAGACCTTCTGATAATTCCTAATTTACTGCCCATCTCCCCCAATTGTAATGGCCTCCAAATTCAAGAACAAAAATTCACTGTTTTGTTCAGTGCTCTATTCTCAGTACCTAAAGTAGAATCTGGCACATACCAGTCTTAATGAATGGTATCAAAGGTATGAATAAAAATTTACCCTTAAGAATAATACACCCAGGGGCCCTCCCTGGTGGCGCAGCGGGTTAAAGCACAGCACTAAGAAGCTTAAGCCACTTTCGCATGAGTTCGATCCCCGCCTGCCCTGGAGGTGACCACAT